AATATAATACTTATGGTTCTTCATAAAATGATCTACAAGATGAACTTTAACATAACAAAACTTTTCCTTCAACCTTTGTAGATGCTTCACCAAGATAGATCGAAGAAGACAGAACTTAAAAGTCAACTTAATTTGCTGATATATCTCCTGTAACTAAAATTTCACTGTTATTAGTTGGATAATAAAATTCTTAAGTCCATGTTATATTGAGTAAATCTACTGTAGTGTTTTTCAATAATAAAAGGTATTCAAAAAGACATGAATATCCTGGTTTTTTAGAAATTGGCAGATTCAATGAATATTGACAACCAGCACTATTCAAACTACTTTATGAAATTTTGAATCCATATTAATAAATATCTAATCCTGGATTAGAACCATCAATATAATTATTGTTGACTTTATTCATAATAAATTTAACCATATGACATTAATTTATTTTAATGTTCTTTAATACTATACCATATAATCCAGTTTATTCTGATATCCAACCAACTGATATTTTATTAGCTGTAATACTTCCAGCATCATAATAACAAAAATCAGATACACATGTTCCTCGATAAAGTCTTCCCTTTTCACAAGATGTACATTCAGAATATGATAAACAACTACTGCAACCCTCAGAACAAATTCCTCTATCAAATATTGAAATATTGGTCACTAAAAACTTACCTGCAAAATCAGTAGCATCAGAATAGGCTTCAAAGATTATTCTAAATGGTTTTGTAGAATTAGGTCTAATATGAACTCTAACCTTAATTATGAATATAGAATATACTTTTGTCCATGTATTCTCAGCCAGACTATTTATAGTAACAAATTAGGCATATTTGTTTGTTTAATTTACTCCTGATGTTATTACACTTATGTCTTCTGCAGCTATCCAATAAAATTCATCATCGTCATTTGTCCAACCTATTACAATTCCTGTATTAAGGCTTTTAGATGAAGGATGACGAGAAGCAAAATAAGCAAATTCTAAAGTTGCTACGTCTTCTTCACTAGTAAAATTTAAATTAGATTTGATTGGCCTTGTAAAACAATCACCTCCAAAAGTAAGTTTAGTTATCACCATACAATTTTATTGTCTTCCAAAAGCAGTACATGGTACAATTAGACAATTATGTGTACTTTAAGGATCTGATTCATTTTTTGAAGTAATAAATGTTGAAATGTGCTCGTTGAAATTGAAGAATGTAGGGGTATATAAATATTATCCTAGTACTATCTCAAATCCCAAGAGAATAATTTAGAATAGCATTAAATTATATATATAATTATGAATCAAATAAGGTGCAGAATCCAACAATTCGAAAAAAATACCAAATATTCTATTTGAAATATCTAATTGATTTTCTATTGTCATGCAACTCTATCTACTTAAATGGGGTTTGTAATTTTTAATTTTACAAAGAAACACAAAATTCTATTTGATTTCTAGATATAATCCTATAGTACTTACACATCTTTTATAAATCAGCATTTCCAACTTCTACTTTTTATTTCTTAATTATTTCTATCTTGCTCCCTTTATCTCATATTATTACTTTACTTATGATTTGTTAATTATCCTATATCAAAAAATTATTTGATCTTTATTTAAAACTCAATAAACTATTCTGATTATTATTTAATATTATAAGTGTTAATACAAATTAGTTTTATATAAGCATTTATAAATACAGTTATATAAGTACTCTTAGAGAATGAACAATTAATCAATAGTTAAAAAAATGTTTGGATAGCATTCCTATTCATAAAAAAAATTATGTTAAGATAAATTTTTATAATAAGAAGAATACAATATGATAATCTTATGAATTGGGCATTTAATTTTCTAAGGATAGTCATAAGATTTTTTATTTTTTATTTAAATAATATAATTATTTAAATGATTAGTTTTATTCTAAATTGATTAATTTAGAAATGAAATAAATTCAAATGTTTTGGGGGAATTTAAATTTGAAAAATAATATATTCGCATGCTTTTCAAATAATACTTATATTATACTTTTTAATAAATTCAAGAATTAAAATATTTTTATCTAACATACTAATTTAATAATAGTTAACAATATTATTCGTATTGCAGATAATCCTAAATATATAATGATAATTTTTTTAATACTATTATGCATTATACTAAAAATTATAAGTATGTAATTATAAATTTTATATTTGTTCTATTAGTTTTTATAAAAAATTCCATAAATAAAATTAATGTTAACTAAAATATTGATTCCTAAACAATTTATCATAGTTGCAGAAACAAATTCATTCTAATCAAGCATTAAGATCAATTACTTTAGTTCTAAACAACATCTATTCATATAATGCAATTAATAAACAAGTTTAAATTATAATAGTCAATATGGTTTTTGGAAGTTTTCTTCAGATAAAAATAGTTAGCAAGATAGATCTACTTAACATACCTAAACTAATTAAGAGTTGCGAAAAGCATCAAATTCTGATAACAATATTTAAGATATGTCATTTTTCAATTATTTTAAGAAAATGTAAAAAAATAATGAAGAATAATAGAAAAATGTAAAAAATAGAAATTATTTTGAACAAATGAAGAATTCTTAATTAAAATTTTTGTTTTAAGAATAAGTTTCTAAATTAAAGGATGTTGGAAAAGCATCATATAAATATTTTTTAATAGGAATATTTGTTTTAGGATTTGCATATTCAATACCAAAATCGATATCAACTTTCTTGGCCACAAAAATGGCTATTTCTGCTCAATTATCTATTGAAAATCTAAAGAAAGAGAATGAATTGTTAAAAAGCAAATTAGAATATGTGAAAAATAAAATAGAAGCTGAAAATTTAAGCTAAAATTTATTGAAATAGGACAATAAATATTGAATCTTTAAATTTACAAATAAAAATTAATCTTTTCATTTATCAGTTTAATTTTTTTTGTAAAATTCTGAATTAGGCTCTCCTTTATTTATTCAAATGACATTTCTATTCATATTCCTCTTCTTTTCATCTACATCATATTGAATTTTTTTCAGAAAATCATTAGCATTTATATTCTTTTACTAAAAGATATCTATATCTATTTTGAGTCGAATAGTATTATAAGTGATTGTATAAAATATCAGCAAAAATGATGTTATAATTCATAAATGGACTTTCTGATGAAGAAGATTAACCTTTTGAAGAGTCTATTTTAATATTATAATTATTTAAACTTGCTTAGGGAAAATGAAAAAAACAAGTTTATTAATCATAAGAATAAACAGATAGAAAATAAATCTTAATGCAATTATATAAAATTAATAAACAAAGATTTAGAAAATAGAACATAACCTATAAGATTAAGCTTTGATGTAACTTAAATATATAAAGATTAAATTATGAAGATGATTAATAATAATAAAACAATCAATACAAAATAATATTAATAATTATAATATCTTAAGCTTAAAATAATCTGTTAGAAAGAATAAGCAAAATTAAAAATATCAATTTACAAATTCAAGAATAATTTAATGAATATAAAAATACATACTCTAACCGTATTTCTATTTTTGTTATTAAAGGAGTTATTAAACATAGTAATCTATACCATCTTGCTAATGCAATAAAAACTAAAATAGAGAAGAATTTAGTTGAACTACCAAACCCAGTATATGTCTGTAGCCAAGTTCACAATTATTAAGATCATTTAAAAAAAATAAAAAAAAAAGTATTATA